TTCCACTTGACTGTTTTGTATTGACCTCTTCAGTCCTTTATTTTTTATATTTTTGGCTTCTCCATGTGGCTTATGGGATCTTAGTTCGAGGACCAGGGATTGAATCTGGGCCATGACAGTGAAAGTACCAAGTCCTGACCGCCAGACCTCCAGAGAATTCCCCTGACCCAGGTAGTGCTAGTGGTAAAGAACCTGCCTGCCAATGCAGGAGGTACAAGAGACGTGGATGGGTTTGATCCCTAGGTTGGGAACATTCTGTGGAGGAGGGCACAGCAACCCACTCCAGTAATTTTGCCTGGAGAATCTCCTGGACAGAGGAGCCTGGCGGGCTACAGTTCTTGGTGTCACAAAGAGTCAAACTGAAGCAACTCAGCATGCACGCACTTCAGTCTTAATGATGCCCCCTGGCAAACTAATTCATTTGAATGATGCATAGCTTAGGAGAATTACCTAGGCACTTCCAGGGCCTCTTAGGAATAAAGATAATCGCTTTGTAAGAGGGTGACATGTTCAGTTTTTTGTTTGTTTTTTTAAATAAGTAGAGAAAGAAAACAAAAGCAAGACTAGCATTCTGTGATGTATCAGCTGTTGTGTTTGGTGTTACAAAGCCTATCATTTATTATACTTCTCTGATTATATTCCTTTATACAGATACAGAAATTGAAGCTGAGAGGTGTTTTGTAATTTGTCTGTTTCTTTTGCGTTTAACAAGAACTTGGAGGAGGGCACTGTGGTGGAGTGAGATGATCGTTGCTTACCCTCCTGGTTTTCTCTCTGTTTTCCTCTAATTAGAGTATCAACTTTCACCTTTCTCTTTTCCCTCTCTCTCATGTTTATGTGTAATCCAGAGGTTGCTAGTTTTTTCTTAAATGTCTTGATTTATAAATCCTATTTGTTAAAGTTGTCTTTATTGCATCATACCTACAATAATAACAGAAGTAATAAAAATTAGGTTTACCTAGCATCTTGCAGTTTATAATGTACTTTCACATATTCTAACTCTTGTAATCCTTATAATCATACTGTATGGTAGATGTTAGTCTTTAAATATTCTACTGTAAAAACTTCCTGATCATTTTCTTTGTAGGTATTCTTCTCTCTTTTGTCTAATAGATTAATATTTTGAAAATATAGCTTTCACTATTACACATTTTCTCTTAGCACAAAGATTTTTGGTGATTTCACAACAAGCCAAATAATGAAGTCAAAACTACTGTATTTGCATTTAGAATTGTCCATAATCTAATTCTAAACAAGCTTTTATTTATATATATATACACACACACACATACCCAGGACTTTCTCAGAAGACTCTTCTGCATATCAAGTCAATTTGGTTCACTTTAGCAAGTATCTGTTACCTACTGTATATCAGATCTTTGTTGTTAGGGATAAAAAGATGAGTGGAATATTCATGTTCTTAGGAAACTCACTGCTGAGTGGAGGTAAAAATATACATGCATTAGTAATTATAATATATGTGTTATTTTAAGGTAGCTGAGTGCTGCCTTAATTTTATAAAGTATATTTAGAAAAGGGATTTTTATTTATTTATTTTTTAATTGAAGGATAATTGCTTTACAGAATTGTGTTGGTTTCTGCCAAACATCAACATGAATCAGCCATAGGTATACATATGTCCCCTCCCTCTTGAACTTCCCTCCCTACCTACCTCGCAATCCCACCCTTCTAGGTTCTTACAGAGCTCCAGTTTGAGTTTCCTGAGTCATACAGCAAATTCCTATTGGCTGTCTATTTTACATATGGTAATGTAAGTTTTCCTGTTACTCTTTACATACATCTCAACCTTTCCTTCCTCCCCCGTGTCCCCCGCCCATGTCCATAAGTCTCTTCCCTATGTCTGTCTCCATTGCTGTCCTGCAAATTATTTCATCAGTACCACCTTTCTATATTCCATATATATACGTTAGTATACAGTATTTGTTTTTCTCTTTCTGACTGACTTCACTCTGTATAATAGGCTCTAGGTTCATCCACCTCCTTAGAACTGACCAGATGCATTCCATTTTATGGCTGAGTAATATTCTGTTGTATATATGTACCACAGCTTCTTTATCCACTCATCTGTCAGTGGATATCTAGGTTGCTTCCATGGTCTAGCTATTGTAAATAGTGCTGCAGTGACCTTTGGGGTACATATGTCTTTTTCAATTCTGATTTCCTAAGGGTATGTGCCTGAGTGGGATTGCTGGGCCATATGGTGGTTTTATACCTAGTTTTTAAAAGAAATATCCATACTCTCTTCCATAGTGACTGTATCAATTTACACAGAAAAGGGATTTTTTTTTAAGGTATAAAAGCCACAAGGAACAGCAACAAAAAAAAGGGAAAGAAGATTAAAAACAGGTGAGAAATGGTACCAGAATTCTAGAAGCTAGAAAGCAGTTGTAACTAATTTAGCAGTCTGGAGAAAGCTGAATGATTTGAAAGGTAGGCCAGTTTGTAACATAAACACCAGGCATGTTCAAGAATTGAATTCATTTGGAAATTTCAGAAAGTTGGGATGCAGAAGGAAATAAAAACAAGTGAAGAGTAATTGCAAGTCCATATGTATTTTTGGACTTCCCCAGTGGTTCAGCAGTAAAGAATCCTGCAATGCAGGAGACTCGGGTTTGATCCCTGGGTTGGAAAGATCCGCTGGAGGAGGAAATGGCAACCCACTCCAGTATTCTTGCCTGGAGAATCCCATGGACAGAGGAGCCTGGGGGCTACAGCCCATGGGGTCGCAGAGTCGGACATGACTGCAGTGACTGAGCACGCGCACACATATATATATACACGTACATACATGTATGGAGCAGTTGCATCGTCACATCCCCTCCTTCCCTGGCCCCACCTGGCAGCTGCTCTTTTCCACCTTCACAGGAATTGGAAAGGTCACACTATGGAAAGTAAACAACTGTGAAAACTGGACTGCCCAACTGAACACAGGAAAAATGAGGAAAAGATTACTTACTGATCGGTGAGGCCTCCTAGACTGTGGAATAAGCAGATCTATAAGCTCTTGCTTTTTTTTTTTTTTTAAGGAAACTGCACGATTTCTATAATATAGCAAATTTCTCTAAGTATTAAAAAAAAAAAAAAGATTTTCCCCAAATCTTCAAAAAAAAGTGAGGATTTAGGAAAAGTATGCCCACCTCAGAATAAGAAGCTGGCCTTCCAGGTTATTCACACTCTGTCTGTAGTGGGTTTTTCTCACTTTGTTTCTCACCGTTCTCCCCTGTATACTTGGCTTCTTTCCTGTCGGTCCACTCAGTCAATCACGTTCTCTGCATTTTCTGTCGTTTCTCCACCTCACTGTTACTGCTGTATTAGAGAAATGCCTTTTATCCTCTCCGCGTTCTCAGTGACTTGCCTCAGGTGCCATTTACGGCCCAAATGCTTTACCTCATCTGCGTCATCTACTGACTTCTTCATATTTCCTTTTTAACCTTATCACTTTATGTGGTTTATTTAATAAACTTTGACCCATGTGCAAGGTGTGTGAGGATCCAGAGTGCAGTCTCTGAATGGTAACCTGTGAATCCTTTTTAATGTTGTTTGCAGACAAAAATTACTCCTAAATCCTTGTACTCTTCTCCACGTAAAGGTGCTGGGAAAACTGATGACAGTATTAAAAGTATAACAGTGTAGTTTACAAAGGGCCATCTATTGTCTAGAGCTTGTTAAAAATACCAGTATTGTAAGCAGCCTTTTTTTCCCCAAATGCAAGGTTTTTATTATCAAAATAATCTATATTATATAAAATTAGAAACAGTCATTTAATACCTTAGTGTATATCTTTTTGTGTCCTTTTCCGTGCATATATTCAACTATGTGTGTGTGTGTGTGTGTGTGTATATATATATATATAAAGATAACATTTACCTCTGTGTGTTACTTAAAAAATAGTCATACTATACATACCTACAACTTTTAGTCAAGGTTTTGAGTATCTGAAATATGTAGAACATGATGTTAAGCACCATAGGACATTGATAGAACCATTAAATAAAATCGCTACTCTCAAGATACTTGTAGTCTAGCTGACTAAGATAGGACAAAAATAAGAAGCAGTGTGAAGTCCAGTACAGTGGCTGAGCTATATGGTATATACGAAGCACTCAGAAGGAATTCACATTAGCCTCCAAGGATCAGTGTAGTTAAAGTGAAGGTAGAGGTGAAGGTAGCTAAGTAGCCGGCATGTAATGTGGGTTCAACCAGCTGGTGGTTGTTGCTCTTATACTCATCCTGGGTTCTGACTCTAGGTATCTAGTACAGAAGAATATTGATTCCGTTTCTACAGGTAGAGAAGTTGAGAGGGAAAAGGGTTAAACCTTCAGGAAGAACTTTGAGTTGTTCCAGTGTTCGGGTGGAGAGCTGTGGCTGAACATAGGTAAAGATGTAGAGCTAGCGTGCTGGTGAAGGGTCAGAACAGCTTTGAGAATCCTCTGAAAAAAAAAAAAAGAATCCTCTGCTGAGAGACAGCAGATGAGTCTGCGCAGAGAGAGTCAGGCTGTAATAGGTTTTATTTCACACTGTCCTTTATGCCAACGAAGGTCAACACTAAATACCATGACAAAAAAATATAAAAGCCTTATTTGTCAGTGAGTTAGAAATATGAGGGTTTGTGTTTATTGTGACAAAAATTAAAATCTCTCCATCTTTGTAATTCTGGTGTCTCTTCTTTTTGAGTTGCCTGTGATTTAATAGTTGGGAAATACTAAATAGCAAAATGTGCTTGTGACAGAGAGAGATTTGTTTTCTTTAAAATAAAAGATTCTCATGTCTAACTTAAATTTTCAAATTCTCAAGCTGGTTTTATTCTTGTCCTGCTGAGTCTCATTATCTCTGTTTAGCTTTTCACTAACAAATCATGTTTCATATATGTGAACAGCATTGGGAATGTGACCTTTCTCATGACCCTGTAAGCTAAGATTTTGCTTTGCATTTCCCAGAATAAATGTCACTAAAACATATACATTCTGCTTTTCCCCTAGGTAAAAATCTCTACACCAATGAATATGTAGCTATCAAACTGGTGAGTAGAATCTATATTTGTGGTAATTATGTTTTAGTCCTCTCACCCTTCACGTATCTTTTTACAGGAAATAATTGTAAGCATTCATAAAAATACTAATTTTTTCCTTGCATATAATACCACACAGTCATTTCCTTCTAATATATATAGTGTTACAGTGATGAATCACTGTATACTGTGAAACGCTGTGCAGTTAGAAGATGCTAACTATAGTGTTAGCAATGATGAATCCAAAAAGTTAATTAAAAATAGCTAGAAGGAAGAAAAATCCTAGTAATTTCTGTAAACTTTGTACCTTCCACTGTGCTATTTTTATTTAACATTTTCTTATTCCTAAATATAAGTGATCCATTTAAAAAATATAAGATATTTATCAATGTACTTCCAAATCTGATCATCTAATCATTGCCTTAAAAAGATGTCAAACATGGAAAACACATCATGTGCCCAGATTTGAAGCAAAGAGTTCAGTTATTTTTGTCAGTGCTAATCTTATGAATAATTAATCTAGTCATTGAAAATAGCATCCTGTTAAAGAATAATTCTCTTGTTTTTAAGGGTTAATATTTTTAGAAGAGACAGTTCTTTAGCCTGTTTTTAAGACTGATACAAAACCACTTCTAGCCATATGAAATGCTTTGTGTAACTAGTTTCTATATAAATAGAAAGCTGTATAAATATTGTCCTTCTAATAAAGCCTAGTATGTTTCCCAGGATCTACAGGTGGTTTGGTGCTCTTAGTTGGAAGGCAGAGGCATTAATAGTTGAAGGAAGTATCTTGTGGTAATCACTGTTTTTTTCCCCTAATGAATTGCACCTACCACATCCACACTTGCTTTGTGGTTGGTCCTTTTCTCTCCTTAAGTTTGTTTTTGGAGGAGTTAGAGTTGTCCTGTGAAGAACTGATGGTCATCAGAGTAGTTTCTCTACAAAGAGGTGGACAGGAAGCAGGTCTGAGAGCAGGTAGCTGCTCAGGAACCAAGTATTTCCTTTTGTTTGTTGACCTGAAACTTTTGTTGGCAAAATGGAAGGAAGAAGAGAGATAATGCATATGACAATGCAGATCAGATATTTTCCTCAGATTGAGTATCAAAGGATCAACCATATATTTTTACTTACGGGAATTTAATTATTCTGTAAGAGTATTCTCTAGTTCATCTCTTTTTTTTACTTTTTCTGTTTTATTATTTTGGTAAGTTGGAATAATTTTGATTCTTTGAAACTAGTAATAGGAAAAAGCAGCCCCATAAAACACTTTAAAATGTTGCCTCAATATGTATGTTTATAATTGTCCCCTTACTTATCAAGACTTCTGGTAGGCACAGCTTTTTCTATCTAGATTTCTTCTTCTCAACTCATACTAGTTAGCCTCTTTAGATAAGCTTGCATAACATACTAATGACTTGACTGACCATTGCATTTCACTTACATTTTTTTAAATTTTATTTTTCACTTACATTTTATTAAAGTTTTATTCTTCATATGGCCAAGAGTTAAAGCCAAATAGACTTCATGTTATCTGCTATGATGTGCCTCAGTCCCTCATTTCTCTTTCAAATAAATCTTAAATAAAGGCTTTTTAAAGGATACTCAGTCTTGTCTGTGGGCTTCCTCTCTTGCTCTGGGGCTGTGTTCTTTGTGGGAGATATGATGGCAGTAATTGAGCTCTCTTCACTGTAACAGCAAAATTTGCCTTAAGCATTACAGTCTTACCAGGTAGCCGTCTGCTGTTGGTTTAGGGTTTCAGGCAGGCATGTGTGCTCCGTAACAACCGTGATTCTGGCAGATAGCCAGCCCTCTATAGAGATGTCATCAGCATCTCACACAGAAATACAAGGAAGTCCTGCTTGTGGTGCTGCAGTTCTACTTTGGTTGAATCTTCCTTTTAGGCTCCTGTTTCTTGGATTTCTAGGAACAGTTTTTTAAAAATCTGATACAGTGTAAACAAGCTTGTGTAATGAATCCCTCCTTTACCCCTATCAACAGAGGTTTCTGGAGTTCTTTCTGACAGGGTTTTTCTAACAGTTGTTTAAAAATTTTTCTCTCTATGCTGCTAATCCCACTGCCTTTCACAATCTGGAGATTGTTTGCAGTATCCTTTAGAAGAGCACTTGATGCTCCAGTTGGCTGAGCAGGCTACAACTATGTGCTGAAGGGGGTGGCTGAAGGGTATAAATACTTCTGTCTGTGATAAAAGGCCACTCATGTCTGAATATATGTGATGTGTACACCTACTTTCAGCCCTGTAGCTCTTAAGAGTTACTGCTTTTTTTAATCTGTTAACTTACTTTTCCAAGATCAGGTTGACTATTTCCTATTAATGTTTCCAATATAAAGTTTGGGAGTATTATGTTTGAGGAAGGAGCTGTGTTTTTTAAAATTCATTGACTCTTGTGGTTTGTCAAAATTCAAGACTGTTTCTGCAGAAAGAACACTCCTGTTTCTAGTGTTTAGATCACCCTCTGGTCCCATATCAATTTGTCATCACTGTTTCTCTTGGTTTCTTATAAATTATTAATGATTTTGCTAAAAGACAAATTCTGTGATTGGCTGCTTTGGTGCTGATATATTAGAAGATCTAAAACTGAATGGACACTCTCTATCTGAAAAGATAAATGCATAAGGAATACTGTGACTCTACAGTATAATTAGTCTTCTGTACATATTTTGGTACCACAAGAATCTTGAGAAACTCGAAGTCCAGCTCTGATGCTTCCTGATTTTGCAATCAAAGAAGTCTATGAATTCTTTCGCAGAGCTCCTTAGGGCTTTGAAATATGTCAGTCTACTTGAGTTGATTTAGATAAAGCTTTCTTAGAAGCAAAAGGATAGACTAGGTAACTTCAAGGAAAGGTCTGAATTCTGTAATTTATGGATTCTATATTTTTAAAAAAATGCAGAAACCTTCAGGTGGTTCAGGAAGAGCCTTCAAAGGTGATTAAAGAACTTAAAAATAGGACCAGTGAGGAAAGTTTAAAAAATTTGAAATTACTTTGCCTGAATAAAGGAAGTCCAGGAAATGATTGAAGAGCTTTGTTATTTGAAGATAGCTGTTACAGTATTCACAGGTTAGTCAGGAACTGTCTTATCTTTGTTACTGAGGACATAGAAGAAATAGGCTGAGGTTCCAGTATTGTAGATGACAGTTACATATAAAGATCTTCCAAACTATGAAACTTGTTAGACACGAGCGTGAATTATCAAGGGAAGCTGAGGAACTCTCTTTTGAGCCTATCTTAAAAATAGTACAAGTAATCATTCACTGAGGAGAGGACAGTTTTTTTCAGCAAATGGCGTTGAGGAAGCTGGAGATCCACTTGCAGTGAAGTGAGACCCTTTACGTCATACACCAAAATTAATTAAAAATGGATCAAAGACCTAAACATAACAGCCAAAACTATAAATTTGGAAGAAAGCTTAGGGGAGAAGCTTCATAGCATTAGATTTGGCAGTTCTTTTTTGGATGTAACACAAAAAGCATAAGCAAGAAAAGATAGGTTGGACTTTATCAAAATTAAAAACTTTAGTGCATCAGAAGACTCTGAACAGAGTGAAAAGAGAGCCCATGGAATGGGAAAAAATATTTGAAAATTATGTATGGAATTGGTTCTCGAATTAACCATTTTTAGTTGCACAGTTCGTTGACATTAAGTACATTCACATTGGTGTGCTCCCATCACTATCACTATCATCGTCTCTGAAAGTTTTTTTCACCTTCCTTGTCTAAAATTCTGTGCTCCTTAAACCCCAGCAGCATTCCCCACCCCTCCCCCCACCACGCTCCTGGCAACCGCCATTCAACTTTGTGTCTGTGAATTTTGACTACTCTGGGCCCAGAGTCGGACACAACTGACGTGACTTAGCAGCAGCAGCAGCAGCAGCAGGCACCTTAGGTAGAAGCACTCAGTGTTTGTCCTTTTGAATCTGGCTTACTTCACTTAACATGCTGTCCCCAAGTTTCATCCATTTTGTAGCATGTGTCAGAATGGCTTTCCTTTTTTTGGCTGAATAAAATGCCATCACATGTATGGAACAAACTGTAACCACATTTTATTTATCTATCCATTTGTTGATAGATATTTGGGTTGCTTTCACCTTTCACCTTTTGCCTATTAGGAATTATATTACAATGAACATGGGTCTACAAATACCAGTTTGAGTCAGCATTTTCAATTCTTTTGGGTATATATTTAGAAGTAGAATTGCTGGATCATATGGTACTTCTATATTTAACTTTTTGAGAAATTACTATACTGTTTTCTTTAGTAACTATACTATTTTACATTCCCACTAGCAGTACACAAGGATTCCAGTTTCTCCACATGCTCTCCAACACTTGTTATTGTCTGTGTTTTTGTTAATGGTCATCCTAATGGATATACAGATGTATCTTTCAGAGTGATGTTTGATTTTTCTGGTTAACTAGTTGCCTGTATGCTGTTAATTCAGAATGATTAGCCAACCAATTCTTGAAGTTTGGTGTAGAGCAAAGTGTGGTAGTGTGGCTGCTTTATCTTTGGGTTATTTAGTAAACTCTATTTTTAAAAGCTTGAACACCATCCTAATTAAAGCTACATGTCTTAGTTGCACTTACAGTCTTTAATTCTCTTCAATGTAAAAATAAGTACACGTAACACTGTTCCTACAACTTTATTCATAATATTGAAAATTGAAAACAGTTCAGATGTTCAAACATTATGATTTGCATGTATGTAAATACACACAATAATATGCAGTTTTACTTACTGCTATGGAATGGTATGATCACATTGTTGAATTTAAAGTCACGTTACAGAACACCAAATATAGTGTGCTCTCATTTATTTAAAATACATTTTGAGTCTATATTATATATATAAATATATGTATAAATAAATATTTGGAAAAACATTCACCTAAATGTTAACAGGGCTTCTCTTTTAAATGGTGGAGTTTTGGGGTATTTTTACCTTCTTTGTAATTTTTGTGTAAGTGAATTTTTTTCCTGAGCATATACTGTTTTTCCAAAAACAATAAAGCTATTTACTGTCCCAAATTCATAATAAAACAAGCAGGAAATGCATGCTAGTATTTCATTAAAAGGTATGACATCTGGTTTCCTAAGAGAAGATATTTCAGGAGAATACTTCATGATGAGAGAGCTATCCTTGAGTGGTGTCTCATACAGAGTATTTTTATATAAATATCCATTGCAGAGATTGTGTATAATTCAACTTGATCTTCCCCTAGATGTACTTTCAAAGGGAAATTGTGGTACGAAAATGCTATCATATATGAATATCATTGCTAAAATATTAAGTGGTCTTAACCCTGGTTTACTCTGAAAACCTAGGAATGGAAAAACTGTCAAATCTGATCAGTATTTCTTTTCTTGGGTTTCAGGAACCAATAAAATCACGTGCTCCACAGCTTCATTTAGAGTACAGGTTTTATAAGCAGCTCGGCAGTGCAGGTAAGTCATTATTTTATCCATTTATTTAGCATATAGCTTAGCTGGAAGCCCTAAAATATGTACATTTTCTTGTCTATCCTTTTTGCCAAACCATATGTCTCCCCTGCTCACTGGATCGGTAAATACACATAGTCAACTGAAAAGCTGCTTACTCTGTGGCATCTAGAAGGGCAGTTGAGTTGATTGTGGGTCTGTGATGCCGTGACTGCCCACAAACCAACCTCTGAATGCTTTCATCTGCCTGAATTACACATGGTATGAAGTTTTGCTTTTTGGTAGTTTATCCATTCCCTTTTCATTTCCTCTGTGTATACAGAAAGAAAGGAAGAGGTATTGGTAATTTTAGAACTGCTTTCACCACATTGAGACTACAAATCCATCTTAAAGACATATGCTAAAATACATCTTCTGAAATACCTTAACAGTCTCACTTTATCTATTGTTCTCACCAATTTGGAAGACCTATCTATATGATTGTAATAATCCTTTGAGGATTTTAAGAAATTAAGTTTATAATTTTTAAAGACATTCCTGTGTTTTACCTAAAATCTCAAATTTCCGAAATAACCTTACTGGCTTCCAGAAGAATATACTGACTAAGCATATGTTACCAGCCCTAAGGAGGTTGAACCCACAGGATACGTAATGCAGAAGATGAACTTCTTTAGTGCTAGTTTCATTATTTGACATTAACAGACATTCCTCTGCTTTATGCTTCTTCAGTGTGACAATTGTGTTTTTGTGTGTATGTGTGAATGACTGAAACTTTCAAGTGCCATTACTAAAGGTACTATTGAAGGAATATTGAATTTCATTTCCTAAAATAGATAGAATTATATAAGAGCCACTGGGTGTTATTCAAGTCATCTTATATACCCTGACCATGGCAATAATCAGCCATGGTCATAACCTTGGGAGGCCAGGATGAACATTTGTCTTTCTTTGCACCTAACATGAGTTCCTGCAGACAGCTCAAAGGCATTCATCTCAACTGTACTTGCCGCCCCGCCACTGCTCACCTGCACGTCTTCTTTTAAGCTACATGTCTTCAGTTCCTTCAGTTTTTGCATTGTGTGATTTACAGACACTTCACTGTCATTGCTCCCGTAGCAAGTATGAGTGTACACATGTACACACTCCTAGTTTTATGATGTTCCTCTTAAATGAGCCTCATGAAACAGCACCACTAACTGTGGATTTGGAGGCAGTGGGATTATTTATTTTTCTTGATCTGGATATAGTACTTCTATAAATTTAGATTAGCTCTTTTAACAGCCATTTTACATGGTTGACTTTTATGCATTTATGGAGTTCTGCTCAGTTGAAACCTTTACATCTTTTTTATATAAACCACCATCAACCAAGGCTTTCTGCATTTTTTTGATTATATAACTGATTTTGATCACCTAAAACTTTCAAGGGTCATCTTGTTTTATCCCATTATTACTAAGTACTAGGATACTTTTCAATCCTGATTGTTACTGATGATTACGTATTGACTGTTCTTTAAATCATAGCTGCATATCCTCCTGCCCCTGCCCCCCTCCTTAATACTACTGTAAGCTCCTTGAGAACAGGCGTGTGCCCGCTTTACCCTGCTCTCCCAAATGTGTCTCAAGGTCTAACATAGTTCTTTCACCAAATAGAAAGCTGGGATGTGTTTTGGTGACAGAAAGAAGTTGAGAAGATTTGAAAAGCATGTGTTGTAGATTTTTGCCAAGTTATTAAGAAAAATATTCTCTGAGGATGGCCCAAAAAAGGAAATTTATTTATTTATGATAGGTAAGAAGTAGATTTATTTAGAGAGATACACATTCCATAGACAGAATGCATTCCATCTCAAAAGGCAAGACTAGTCCTGAAAGAAACTTTCCACAGAGTATGGGCAGTCTCAGAAGGTGAGAAGCCAGAAAATTTATTTTGCAAGTAGATCAGTTGACAAAGTAGACAAGATTTTACTATGTCTCCCTCTAAGTGTGAGCATGAACACTAGAGCTTGTTCCTGATTTACAGGCATGAGTGTTTCTCTTCCTGTTTTTCTAGAGTGAAGTTCCCAGCTGTAAATGTGACTCATGACTCATTGGTAGTTAATCTTTGAACACCTAGAGCACATATGTCACTCTCTCCAGAACCAAGGTGATATTGTGGCCTTGTAAACAAACAACCTTTCATGCCTAAAGCACATGAACCAAAATAATCCAATCATTGTTTTTACTCACTGGTGCTTTATCTTTCATTATTCAACACAGTACGTAGATGCAAAATATTGGTTATGATGATGAGGAATACTTTAAAAAAGAAAAGCCTGTTGTGACTTAGGTTTGTTCAAGGAATTAATCGGTACTTACAAAATGGATGCAATTTCAGGATAGAAATGAGTGATTATGAATTTAATGAATATCCATATAGCTATTAGAGCTTGAGACTTTAAATTCCTAAAATAAGAACTTTTGTGTTGGCTTGAGAATATGACCATTTTTGTCCTTAAGTACCCAAATCTTATTCATTAACTTGGTTTTTGACTTTCACATTGCCTCGACTGAATGATCTGGAAATCCATACCATTTCTCTTCACTTGTATAGATAGAACAAAAATGGTAGCACTGGATGATTGTGAACATGGTTTAAAGTGGGATTCTTCCTGATTGTCCCTTCTTTTCCTTGTTTGATCCCTTAGCTTTTTCCCTTCCATACCATTCTGTTCTTTAGTGAACAGTCCACACTTCAAGCTTTGTTTATTGATTGTAACTTTGCCATGAGGAGTTTCAGAACCTGATTATTTACTGTGAAGGTTGATAGCTCTAAGATAATCAGGGAAGAAAGAGGGCCTTGAAACGGAGAATGAGGATTTTGGGCTTCCTGAAAACTATCATTTTTATCTTTTTTTCATTTATTGTAGAAACCAAATTATGAAATATTAAAGGGTATTTTAAAAGGAAATGATGGTCCATCTCCTTACACCCTAATTCAACCACATTTCACTTGACTGTTTCTCTCTTTTTCATATGCAGACATAAGTCATAATTAATCTCAGTTCACGTGCAATTGCATGTCTTCATTTACTGAACATAGTGACATTTGTCTTGATGCCACATTAGATAGATATTTCTGATCATTGTATAACATCCTATCAGCTTCATAAACCATAATTTAGGCATCCATTTTGTGTTGCCAGACATTTATAGCTTGTTTTTATTTGAAGAAATCATTTCCCCTATTGATTTCTGATTGAGTATATAACTCAGAACTTTTCATATGTTCTGCCATTTATTCCCCATTTGATAGTGTTTCTCAAATGTTTACAAATCTATTAGATTAAATTTATTCCAAAGGATTCCAGAGCAAAAATTACAGAAAGAAATTTCAGTAAGAGAAATTTGACTTTATGTAACAATTAAAAATCAGTATGGATCTGGATAAATAAATAATGATATATTTATATCATGGAGTTAACTATTAGAAAGAAAGTGGTACTATGTACTAACATGGAAAGATGCCCCAATATATTTTTTTTAAGTATAAGAAGCTTTGTAAAATAGCATAATATGATTATATCTCTGTAGTACAAGAAGAACATACACAGATATGTCTTATGAGCACAGAAAATATCTAAATGACTATTGTTGTTGTTATTCAGTCAGCTAAGTCGTGTCCAACTCTGTGCGACCCCATGGGCTGCAGCATGCCAGGCTTCCCTGTCCTTTACTATCTCCCAGAGTTGTTCAAATTCATGTCCGCTGAATCAGTGATGCTGCCAACCATCTCATACTCTGCTGCCCTCTTCTCCTTTTGCCTTCAATCTTTTCCAGCATCAGGGTCTTTTCCAGTGAGTCAGCTCTTCACATCAGGTGGCCAAAGTATTGGAACTTCTGCTTCAGCATCAGTCCTTCCAATGAATATTCAGGGTTGATTTCCTTTAAGATTGACTGGTTTGATCTCCTTGATGTCCAAGGGACTCTCGAGTCTTCTCCAGCACTACAGTTCAGTATATGTGCTGCCAAAGCAAGCACTCCTGCACCACAATTCAAAAGCATCAATTCTTTGGCGCTCAACCTTCTTTATGGTCCAACTCTCACATCTGTACATGACTACTGGAAAAACCATAGCTTTGACTATACGACCTTTGTTGGCAAAGTGTTGTCTCTGCTTTTCTGTCTCTTAATGGGAGGGCAGTTTTCAGGCAGAAGTTGAACAGTTAATACATTCTGGATGTTATAAAGGAGATTTGTGTACTGGACAGAAAGTTAGAATATATGACTTTTTAAGACCTATTTGCACACTGAAATTGTATTAAAAACTCTCAAAGACCATGTTACCATGCAGATATTTATAGTTGGTATCTTACTCAGTTTCAGAAGTTAATTACATCAAAAATATAACCCTGGCAAAGTGGACACCCAGTAGTCAGAATCGAAATGGGAATATTATCTACTGTTTTCACATACTTGGATGTGCAGGGGTGGAATAGATTTTTATTTGCAAATTGTGATTTAATTATTAAACCTGATAATGCTGGAGAATTTCCAAATATATTACATACAAAGAAAAACTATTTTAAACATGTGAAACTATGTTATACAATATTTCCAACTCTGAAATTATATGTAATAATTATGAAGCATTATTATATTCTTTGCTGTTGAAACATCAAAGTTTTAGGTTTTCTCCTGTGACTAAACCAAGTACCATCTTCAGTTTTTGTTTTATTTTTGCTTTTTTCTTTCTAAATCGCTGTTTTGGTTTTTCACAGTACAAAGGACTTTGGAATTGAGCACAGTATGCTTTCTTTTCACGTGTACTTTCTTTTCTTTTTTTTTTCACGTGTACTTTCTATAGGTTGTTCTGAGTACACAAGATTAGAAATGAAGGACTTAAAGGTTGACTCTGGATTCCCTGGGACTTGCTTGCCCTCCTGGTAGCTTGAGTATTTGTTTAGTATAGTGTGCCAGGTTCACAGGAAAGAATAGCAGTATTTAATCATGATAATTAAAGACTGTAAG